CGCGCCGCAAGGACGGAGCGCCCGGCTGGGGCGCTTCCAGGGCGCGCTTAGGGGACGGGGTCGCGCCAAGCGGAAGGCGGAGCAGGCTGTTGGCGTCGAGGGGTGCTGTGCCTGGACTTGATCTGATCTGATCTGTGTTCGGTTCGGTTTTGATTCCCTTCTACACTCTACTCCTCTTCCGATTCTCTTCTTCTTCCTGACATCTGCTGTCAGTCCGCGCCAAGCGGCCTGGAGCTGCGTGGAGGAGAATCGGAGATGAAGAGCCCCAGGTGGTGGCGCAATCCAAAAGGGCTCGCCCCGAAACTCAGCATGCACGAATGCTCCCTCGCCCTCCCACAGAGGCTGCTCCACGGGGAAGACGGGGGTCCCCGTATATGGGGGCGAGTTGTTCTGCAGGAAGGTGCCACCCTTGAGAAGGCCCTACTGGGGGTACCTTCAGATGGAACTCCGTAGGGGAGGGGACCCTTGGCAGCACATTTCTCTGGCAGGTTGGATCTCCTAGGCAAAGGCTAGCCTTCCCCATTCATGGGTGGTGGACTACAACTCACATCACCCCCAGCCCTCCTGGCTAAAGCTTTGGTGGAGGAACAGAGGCAAAAGTGAAGTGCTTTTTCAAGGTCCTTGCTTCTACACAGGATGGGGGGAGCATCAACAAATGTTACTTTTCCAAGCTAAATGCTAGGAGAGACAACCCGCTGCATTTTCTCAATTAGCACAAAGGTGCTGCTACTATTTAAGGGCTTTATCTGCTCCGTACTATCATAATTTGCCTAGCCAGCGTGAAGGTACTGAATCAAGGAGATCATCTAGCCTTTTTGTGGTTATTTTTATTCTTTTATGTACACTCTACAAATTAATGCATGCTTGAACCATGCAGCTTGTTTGCAAGGAGCAATCTTGGAAGCTTTAGATAGAAAGTTCAAGGATTGTGGATAAGAACTTGGCATTCCCAAGGTTGGTAACCACCATCACCATACATCTTCGAGTCCTGTTCAGCTCTCCTTGTTTAAAGGATCCTCTCCCCACCAGCCTTCCACTTCTTTTCTTGCTGAGTCTACTGTTGGTCTTCCTTCCATTCTTCACTGGAGATCAGGGGTGTTGAGTGAAGAGTATTGGGTCTACAGCCAGCAAGATGTCAAAGAGCTGTTCCTGTGGGGCCAGCTAGTAGCTATCAGTGCTGTTCTCCCTAAGTCAGCCCTAGTAGGTAGACCAGACCAGGAAACCAACTCCACCGAAAGGCTAAATTACTTGTATTGAGATTGGTTATAATAACAGAATCTTGCAGGTCTGATTGTGCTGGATCTCCTCCCCCTTCTAATACTCCTGTGAATTAGGGAGGTTTCTGCTTGATCTGTTTCCAAGTGCTCTCTTGTTGTTCTGGACTTAAAAAACATCTCAGTCCCTTTTGCTTAGGCAACAGTTTCTGCATATCTTTGTCAAAGTAGTCTTCCTGATTCTCTACACCCTATGGCATCTTTGCTATCACTCTACACCCTATGCCACCTTTGCTAAGGTGGAGAAAGAGGGTGATGGAGACCTTAGTGGAAGAGAGTCTAGTCTTAAGTACCCTCTGACATTAATTATTTTGCTGATACTCTTTTTTCAGCTATGGGATCTGGCCATATAATTTCTTTAAGAAGTTGGGAATTCCTGGGCCAAGGCCACTGCCTTTCATCGGAACCTTCTATGGATACTGGAACGTGAGTATGTTGTACTGTTTCACATCACAGTAGCCTGTCGACAAAGTCACAAGTTTAAATGAAAATGGGAATTTCCTTTCTTTCTCATTGGGAATATTGTGACTTCTACACAGCCTGGGGGGAACATCAACAAATGTTACTATCACCTCTTCTTTGCCTCCTCCACCCAGATCAGAGAAGACAGTCTGAGAGAATAAAGGCTACTAGTAAAGCCATCTGTCTTCCTTTTCCACCTATATTAGAATTCCTTGATCTTCATTCTGAAAATATTGCTGCTGTATTGGTATAACCATAACATAACATCAATAGAGATTCAAGACTTACTGATTGAAGGGCTTTTAATGGCATTTTATACTCTTCTAGCCTCAGTGGAAGAAAGGATCACACTGCCAAGTTTTCATTGATCTCCCTCTTTAATGTGACAGGGTATTCTGGAGTTCGACCTGAGATGCTTTCAGAAATATGGCAAAATCTGGGGGTGAGTCACCTATCAGAATGTCATCTTGGAAATGAAGGGTGGTGGACAGAATATCAAAATCTACTCTTGCCTTCAATGGTTGATTGATACAGAGCTGCAAAAATAGATTTTATTTACTTAGAAGGTACAGCCTCAGTCATTGAGGACTTTTATGTGACCTGTGCCCTTTTAGGGAGAGAGGATATGGAGGTGATGGGGGCACCACTGGAAGACCTGAAGGGCCAGGTTGGGAGTGGATCATCCTGGAGACAACCCATCTGTGTGGTCACTAAGAAATAACACCAGTGTGATGGCACATAATCAATCAATCAATATGGAAGTCTGTGTTAGGCTGAAAGCCTAGGTTATTATGCTCACAGAAACGTGGGGAGGTAACTTATAGGATCAGGTACCACTCAGCTACTCCACTTGATTATTGAGTAACCAAAAACTTAAACTTGATTCTATACTTCCATTTTTCCTTCATGATGCTGGTTGCTATTGCATTGTAAGATATACAGTACAAACACTTCAGATGAAGTGTCATCTTTTAAACCTTATGCAAGGAATAATTTCTGTCCCCACTGCATAAGCCGTTCTCTTTATCCATCAAATTCCAGGGCTCTGGTATGCCTTGGTGGTATGTTCAGACAAGAAAGAAAGAAAGAATCTATCCAGCGAACTACATTCTACCCTAAAAAGAACTGAATTCTCTGGTCATATAGATCGTGCAAGATTGAGCATATTTGCAACATGTTTTTCTGTCTTGCATGTTGTTAATCTGCTTTTTATAGTTCTGCATCATTTAATTTGGTTTTGCTCACCAGGCAAAGATACATGTTACATAACCTTTCTGTGGTTTCTGAGATTTCCATCCTTATTTCCCCCACTCTTCAAACCCTTAAGATGTGGACAGTTTTGCAGAACCACAGTTGCAACATACACATCCCTTTTCAGCCTAGAACTCTGAACTCCAAGATACCATTCTCTACTTGACCACCTGCTAAGTTGGAAAATAGGAAGCCTTGATCCTCTTGCCTTATAAATATAAAGCCTGTATTTCAAAACATCTTTTTTATTTTGACAATTAGAATATTTGATGGCCGGCAACCTCTGATGGCCATTCTGGATCCTGCCATCATTAAAACCATCCTGGTCAAAGAATTCTATACTAATTTCACCAATCGCCGGGTAGGTATCCAAAAATGAGGTTCTTAGGACTTCACCAATGCTGAGAAACAGAAGTCTTGTAAGGGAAGTTGGAAGAGTCAGTGTAGTATAGTGGTTAAAATGTTGGGCTGGTACTGGGGAGACCTGGGTCCAAGTCTGCCTCAATCATGGAATGGTCACCCTATTGGGTGACTTTGGGCCAGTCGTTCTTTCTCAGCCCAAACTCACATAGTTGTTGTGGAAGAAATTGGAACAATATATATGCCATCTTGAGTGCCAGAACAAGAGACAGATACCTGTCTATTTATCAATCAGTCAGTCAGATAAATAAATAAAGCTGGGAAAGATTGAAGGCCGAAGGAGAAGGAGACAGCAGAGGATGAGATGGTTAGATAGCATCACTGAAGCAATGAGCATGAAACTGAGCAAACTCCGGGAGGCAGTGAAGGACAGGAAGGCCTGGTGCGATGTGGTTCATGGGATCACGAAGAGTCGGACATGACTTAACGACTGAACAACAACAACAACAACAACAAC